GGCTAAATTTCAGAAAACAAAATAGTTTCCATATCTAGAACAGCAAGATTAAAAACAAGTAAAAACCTCTATATTTCTGAACTAATACAGCTTGTACAATAACTATTTACACTGTTATAATAAAAACAGTGTTAACTCACACTTAATATATGCTTTTGGCTTTTCAGTCTCCCAAATCCTTAATTAAATTATATTTTATGACATCAGTTATAGGTTTTAATATATCAAAAAAATTTGGTTCATGATCATATCAATGCAATTAGTACTAGAAGAGAGAGAGTTGAGCATGGACTTTAGCCTCCTCCCCCGCACCTGATCCCCTGCAGCCTGTTCCCACCATGCTTCCGACAGGCTCCCCACACCCTTTACAGCCTTTTCCCTCTCCCCACTGCAGCCTCTGCACCTATCTACCTCCTCCCAGCCTCTCCCTCCCTACCCTCTCTGCGGCTTACACAGCACTGACCAAGTTTATGGGCAGGTGTTACATTTGTAGGATGAAATATGCTCTTTTGTCACAGAAAGCCAGTGTACAGGCACTCAAGAGGTTTTTCACAGAATAAAACTATCTGTTCTATGAAATAAATGTTAGATCTTCTAACCAGAGACTTCTCCAGAAAGAGCAGTTTTCTAGCATAACCTATGAACGCCCGTATGATTATCTCAGGGTTCTGAGAAACCCCAGTGCCCACAGTCCTTTGTTCTCTCTCCCCTCTTCCAAGAGAAAAGGTTGGGGGAGAGCATTGGATGGCTGTTGGCCCACCCCAGGGGTGAGTTGTTGGGCAGTCCTGCAGGGACCCTCTTGCCCTTGCACTTTAACAGTGTTTGGCCCATGGCACTGATTCCTGCTGCCACTCGCACACTTCTGGAGAGCTTGGTACTGTTCACATGGTGGTGGTGTCAACGCACCCCACCCCCACCTTTAACAGCTCCAGTTCTCCCTGGGACTGCTCAGCAGCAGGAGGCAATACCACCATCATAGGCATGATGACAGTTTAGCAGGGACTGGACATTGCCCTCACTGTTAACAAAAACATTCCCATCATCAGTGTACACAACCAGCTTAAATGGGGGAGCTTTCAGCCAGCTGATAGTGATTTCAGGGCAACTTACAACTATAGGCATCCCAGCTCCATGGAACCAGTAGGTCCCTACTATTTTGCACACTGGTGAAAGCTTACAAAGCTTACTCCAATAGAACTGCAATGGCTATGGAGACTGAAATTTCCTAGAGGTAAAGAGTCACCTCGGATGCAGACTCTAGTCTGTATACCAAAAACCACAAAGTAGAACAGAAGGGTGAGGCTTGGGACAGTGGAGTCATCCTGGATGTTTGTGACAATTACACCTGCAAAGGAGCACACAAAGCTGCAGGCATTAATACACAAAACAGCAGGTCCCTTCTTATAAAAAGCAAGCTTTCCTTCTCCTCTCACCCCCATTTCCACTCCTTGCTCTGCAGTTTTCCTCTCCTGCACCTGTCTCCCAATATTCATCTGCTACGATAGCTTCCCTCCTTTTCCTCCCTTAAGAATTATCCTGTCCTAATTATAACTTCTATCAGCAACCCTGCCTATATTCCAGCTTTGCTCCTGCACCATATTCAATGTTGTCCTCTTACAATTTCTTTTCTTTCTCTAAAACTAAGTCAGTGTTTTTCAAATTGTGTTCTGTGGAAGCCTTGGATTGTGCAGTAGGTTAATGAGGGGTTCCATGAGGAAACTGGGAGTAATGGAGGAGCACGTTGGAAGGCAGTGAGCTGCTATTGCTAGGCCAGGTAACCTAGCTCCATGTCACCTCCCACAGCCTGCAGAGGCAGAAGTAAGAGCTCTGCAGCACAAGAAGTGAAATGAAAGGGCACTGTGACTTTAGGAAGTTTGAAAAAGACTGGACTAAGTCAAGAAATGTTCTACTTGACTGTATAACTGCAGAACATTTACTGCTTCTTATTAATTACCCAAGTCTACAAACACTGGCCCATAACATCCATAAGTAGTTTCTGTAGTGCAGTGGTCAGACTGGTGGATTGCAATTTACCAGTCAACGGTGGAGCCCCTGACAGTTGATCTCATTCTGGGGGGGCTAGCCTCCCAGACTGAGATTGACTGTCAGAGGCTCTGCAATTGGGAGCAGCAGGATGCATGTGGCTGGGCTGAGCTGTGCCCCCTGCCGCAGGGCCCGGCCAGGTGAGTGGGATGGTCCCCTTCTGCGCCTCTTGCCACCAGGTGAGTGGGGTCCTGGGTGGGTGGGCCAGGCAAGGGTCGGAGCTTGAGCAGCTTGTTCAGGCACGCAGGGGGGCGGGGGGGCTCCTGCCACTGGAGGGAGTATGTGCCCCCCCAAACTGTGCGTGGGGCGAGGCGGCTGCTGCTACAGTCTGGGCTTTGGCCCGGAGCCCTGCTGCAGGTGGCCTGGGAGCAGCCCAATGCCATGTGTGTCCCACCGCCAGGCGGGCAGGGGACGAGGCTCATCCCAGCAGCAGGAGGCACGTGGTGTCGAGCTGTTTCTGGGCCAGCTGCAGTGGGGCTTACAGTATGAAGCCCAGCCCACAACTGCAGCCGCCTCCACTGTGCACAGATCAGGGGGCAAGTGCCCCCACAAACACTGGGCAGCATGGGTGGCTACAGCAGCGGTGGGAGAGGGATTATGGCTGGAGCAGGGGCAGGCTCTGCACAGGCAGAGCACAGGGAGTGGGGGTCATGCAGCCCAGGAGGGCACAGGGGACAAGTGCCCCTGGATCTGCACGCCAGCCAGGCCAGTTCTGGTCCCCTCTTGGGGGGCTCTCCCAAGCTGCGCTGCAAGCCAGTGCCTGTTTGTTCTACAGGCCCCAGCTGTGCTGCACGCTGGACAAAAGAGCTGAGTACTGCCACTGCCGTACTGCTGCTTTACTGCTCTGAGCTGCAGGTCCCAAGCTAGGGGCAGTCTGTGTCAGCCACATGGCGCTGAGAACCGAGGCAGGACTGGAGTGGGGCAGCTGCCCAGGAGGACCACCACACAGCCCGAGCTGCCCTGCTCCAGTCCCACCTCTGTCCTCAGTGCTGTACAGCTAACAGACTGCTCCCAGCTCGGGACTAGCAGCTCAGAGCAGTAAAGCAGCAGTGGAACAGTGGCGGTGCTTGGCAGTAGTGTCTTTTGCCCAGCATGCTGTGCAGCCAGGGCCTGCAGCACAAACAAGCCCCAACTTGTGGTGCAGCTCAGGTGAGCTCCCTGGGAAGGGTCTGACCAGCCCCAGCCCAAAGTGGCAACTGGCCTGGCCAGCATACAAATCTGGGAGCACGTGTCCCTGTGTCCTCCTAGGCTGTGTACCCCTCCCTCACAACGAGCCGCCCGCGACTCTATCCCATGCCCTGCCTGTGCAGGGCCTGCCCCTGCTCCAGCCACACTACCCCTTTCACCGCCATGGGGTGGGGGCAGATTGAGGCCCCAGCGGTGAGGGAGGAAGCGGGGCACAAGTAGGAGTAGGCGCTGGGGGGGAGGGGGGTGGAAACACATGGCCCCTGGGCCTCCATTTGTCCCACCACCCGGCCTGGCCAGGGCCCTACTCACTACAGCTCCTGGTCCTGCCTATGTCCCACTTCCTCCCTCACCTCTGGGGCCTCAGTTTGCCCCATGTATATCAGTATTAGGCACAGCTACCATCTAAGGCTCTGAACTGAAATCTTATTCCATACAGCTCTCCTCTAGTAAAAACTCTAACTCTCCATCCAAGTAAATATAGTCTGTATTCAAACCATCCACCAAGAAACATGAAAAGTTGAAAATGCATAGCTGATGTACAGAAAAATAAATTGACACCACAACCACAACACTGAAATTCAAACTTTTTCTTTTCAATTGCAACTGATTATTTTCTCATGCTTCACAACACACTCTAAAAATGGGACTATTACAACTGAAACCTCAGCTTGTGGCATTTTTCTCAATCTACATAACAAAAGAGGAAAATATTTGTAATTACTTAAAATTCAAAACAGTGAATATTTATACACGTAATAAAGTGTAGAGTAGAAAGTTGTACAACTATCTAATTTCTAAACATTAAAGCACTTACAAAAAACATTATCCCCACAAAGGTTCACATTTTACTCCCAACATCAATATACTCAACTGGAATAGCTTCTAAAAAATGGTGGTCTAAAGGAAAAGGCGAATATAGGTTTGTGTTTTGCCCAGTATACTTCTTTTTATTTAAGAACATAACAAAGTTTCTTTGTAAACTTTCAAGTGAGTCATATGGCTCTCATTGATCTTGACAATTGTTATACAATATAAAAAAATGAAAAGTTAAAAAAGCAAAGCATTAGATACTTAGGAAACTGTGGCTCATAATTCAGATCCCAACTATAAACTGTAACACATTTTACTAAAAATGTCTACATTTGCTAATGTTGCTAAATTACCAACATGAACATTCACTGTAAAACACCTTTCCAACAGGTTGTATAAAAAATCATTCTAAATCCATACACTTCAATGAATTACCAAATTACAAATCACAACTAGCACCCTCCTAAAACAGAAAAATTATGTACGTTTCTATGTAAACCCAAAATAGGGGACAAAAACTATTAGTACAAAACTACTAATGCTGAACAGCTTGCATTTCATAACTAAAAGCTGGATCAAACATTATACAAATTGTAATGAAACATTTTATTGCTCATAAATGTGACCAATATAGACTACATATATTTTGGCTGTGTCTCAGTTAGAACACAGCTGCTTTGTCTCTGCTTAAACATTAAACAAAATGGGTAACACATGACTTCTTATATAGGTCTTTTTTGTAAATTAATATTTGCTTCATTAAAATGTTGAAATGCTTATGAATGGTAGATCAATAAATGGTGAACATGACCAGCTTTAATAGGCAATTTTAAGAGTTAGACGGACCACAACTCATTTGTCACTTATTAGCGTGATTTTAAGTACAACCCCCTGCTCCAGGATATTACCTTTTACCCTAGGGAAAGAATGTTGGCACAGCTTTCTTCACCCTATAGAAAGTGTTTTTAAGGCTGTTGGTTGCTGAAGTAGTATTCATTTCAGCAACTTGGAAATAATTCACAGTTTTACTCTTTATCTAGTCATTTAGGGTTAAAAAAATAGTTAAAAAAACTGTATTTAGTGCAATCACAGAAGAACTCCCAAACTGCAACAACGGTAGGTACTCTTTTGTAAGCAAATATCTAAATAGTTAAAATAAATTAAAATAAAAATATTTTACACAGTTTTTGTTGAAAAGTTTAGTAAAAATATTTCAAATTTAGTCTGATATGTATTATACCCAGTTTCCTTTTTTTTCAGAAAGGACAGAGTACTCTATTGTGAAAGAGTTAAAAGTATTTTTCTCTTGTTCATTTTCAAATCTAAGACTTATAAAGACAAAGGCTAGAGTTGTTTTTATCCCCTACTCCTGAAAATTAACTCTTAAATTGTACTGAAATATATACATTTTTGGACTCCTAAACCAAAGTTACTCTTTCTTTTTGTTGTTAACCATTTCAACTACCCTATCCCAAGTGTTGCAAATAGTATTTTGCAAAGTCTATCAAACAAAAATGAAATAAAAATCTTGGAAAGCAAAACTAAATTAGGTTAGCATTTTTCTTATTATTTGGGAACTACAGTGTTTTGTATTTGTTACTTCCCAATTTCTTTTATGGTCAATACAGATTTTAAAACGTGCTAAAGTCTAATTAAAGAATATCAAGAGTTAAAAGTTGTTCCATGTTTCTTATGTGTTAGAAACCCCTGCCAACTAGTCCTCTAGGCTTTAAATATTGTTTTGACGGACTGCATTTTCATTTCCAGTCACAAAGAAAGTATTCTTCATAGTCAACACTCTAGCTGTTCTTCACCAGATCAGTAAAAGCCAGAAAAATTGCTCTTTACTAAAATGAAGATTTTGCAGCCTACTTTTTTTTTATTTGTATTTATACCTTTGGTGAAGTTAGCACCACCTATTCAACAAGAATCATTCAACTTTTATGACTATGATACAGACTTTATCAAAGGAAAAATGGTGCAACAAGATGATGAAATGAAATTCAAGGATGTGAGAAAGGTATTTTATTTATATTATGCATTCAAGTTACATCTTTTTTAAAAGCCTGCTAAGCATTATTAATGAAGTATCTGTTTCATGCATGTATACCTGTTTTATAGGAGAAAATCTTGATGATTGTAGAAAGAAAGATGATTTAAAAACTGAAGCAAAGCCATTCAAAACTAAACCACATAAGTACTACTTTCATCTATGGCTTTCCTTAAGGGTCTGAGAAACCCACAGAAAATGGGCAATTGCAAGTTAAGCCTGACCTAATATCTGTAATATTGTTATGCTACTGTGCCTAGGTATTAAAAGGTTTCAGAAAGAAAGTGTAATATAACAATTAAACTGCTGCCCTGATATCAGAAGGCAGCAAAAAAATACAAAGATTAAAAACAAAAAACAACCCCCCCCCAAAAAAACTGTGTTAACTCACGATTTGAAATGTTTTCATAGTAGAATGCATAACACATCGTCATAAAACTATAGTAGTTTTTTTGAGCTGGAACTCAATTGACTGTAGTACATTACTGCTATTCTTTTCTAACTCGATAATTCATAACAACTCTGAGCTACCATCTCATACCCCAGGATTTACAGAATCACTACAATACTGTTATTACCGTATTTCATGGTTTATAAGTCAAGGTTTGAACCCCAAAAATTTACCATTAAATTTCCACCTCGACTTATACACTGTATCCAGGTTTCAGGGAAGTTGGGTCAGGTCCCTGGGAGGTCAGGCAGCACCTGGCCAGCTACCAGCCCAGCCAGCCTGGCCTGGAAGGCACCACCACTGTGGAGGGAAGGACTGGCCCGCCCCACAGTTTAGGGGCTGCCCAGTCCACTGGCAGCATGCCCCCTGGCTGCAGGGTTTGGAGGGGTTGGGGGTAGGCTCTGCCGAAAGCAGGATCGGGGCTCTTGCTGCTTCTGCCTTCAGCAGACTCCAGGGCCGGGTATCTGGTATGGCCAGCCTTTCCCTCTGCCCCTGCCTGACACCCCACACTGCCCATGGGGTGAGGCAGCTGCTTTACAGATGGACCCAGATGGCCTGCCAGTTACAGGAGCCTGATGGAGACCGAAAGAGCGAGGGACCCAATCCTGCTTTCAGCGGAGCCTGTTCCCCCCCACACCAGTCATGGGGCTAGTTGTTGACAGGGTCGTGTCCTGGGAGGGGGAGGGGCACATGAATTGGGGCAACCGCCCCAGGCCCCGTGCTTTGGGGGGCCTCATGGATCCAGGCAGATTGGCCACAGCCCCCCCTGCAGTGCCTGCCTAGTGCTAGTCATAGAATCAATGAGTCGGAAGGGACCTAGACCAATCATCTAGTCCGACCCCCTGCCATGGGCAGGAAGGAGCACTGGGGGTGGCAGGGGTCATAAGATCCCAGCCAGGTGCCTATCCAGTCTCCTCTTGAAGATTTCCAGGGAAGGTGAGAGCAACCACCTCTCTGGGAAGACTATTCCAGGCTCTGGCCACCCTTAGTGGTGACTCTGTGCCATTGCTGCCACTGGCTTCACATATGGCCACTCACCCCCTATTCCCCTTGCTGGCTTCTTCATGTCTGGGCCCCACACAGGCTGATTTGCCCCAGGCCTCGCACACTGCTAGGACTGTCTCTGGTTGCTGGTGGGCCAGGCAGCCCCTGAGCTATGGGGGGGCCTGGTCCTTCCCTCTGTGGTGGCAGTGCCCCCCAGGACCCAGCTGGGCAGGCTGCTAGCTGGCTGGGTGCTGCCTGAGCTTCCAGGGGACTGATCCAACTTTCCTGGAGCCCACCAGCATGAGGGCCCAAACCTTTTTTTTTTTTTTTGACAAACATCAAAGCAAAAATTGACTTATACAGTGGATATATGAAAAAACTAACTTTTTTGATAAAAAATTTGGGGTTGCCTTATACACCGTGAAATACAGTATATTTGTCAAGGTTGAAGGCAATAGAGAAGAGTGCAAATACCTGTACTCAACAGCACCCCCCACTGTCTAGTTTGGAGTGATGCTCCTGAAGTAAATCCTAGGTATTTAATTGGGAAAGGAGATTGGGAAAGAAAGGAGCATTCAGTGCAAATTCTCAAGACTATAGTAAAAGAAAGTTACAAGCCTTACTGCTGTACTCAGAATCCACCTGAAAAGAGTTAAGAACTCGAAGTTAATGTACTACAGCTAGAATTAGGCAGGATAAATGAAAGCTAATACCATTTTTTTCAGTACAAGCTGCAAGAGAAAATGTGTATGCACATACAGTGGTAATTGCAAATACCAAAAGGCTTTTATGATCATTTTTATTAAAACAAGTACTTGCTGAATATGCTTCTTATTTTCTTCATAAACAGTAAAATGTGAGAGACAGAACTAGCAGAGTAAGAGAGTTGAATTAGTATAGGTTATGGATTGAAATAGTTAAACCAGTAAACTCTGCTTTTCTAATTCAGATCTTCCTCACTTTGTTCCACTGCAAACCTAAAATATGCAGGACACCTCTAACATTTTCTCTCATTCTTATTTCTGCAATTAAGTCTGGTCTAAACCAATGTTTAACAACTGGAGATCCCTAAAACTGAAATGATTTAAAAGTGGTTACCTAAAAAGTTTGCCGTGTTTAAAAATGACTAAATCTGACACAGCAGCAGATGATAGGATTTTCAAAGTGGATTGTTAAAAAGATAAATTATTTCCTGGATAAAAAGCAGAAGTATAGACCTAAAAGGGAACACGGTCAGGAAATGCATATTTGAAATATTCAAATACCCATATCAGTGCATATCACTGTAAACTGGAGGTCTTCTGTAGGCCATTTGTTCCACTAAGTGAAGTTTTAGGAATGCAGTAGATTAACTCCATCAAATCCAGTTTTCCACTGAAGTGTTTTCATTGCAGCAAGGAAACTAATTAGTTCCTTATGTGCTACAGTATGCCTAAACTTGTTCCATATCCCCAGTTTAAACAATGAGGTGCAAAAAAGATCTTTATTTAATGCGTGCAACAGTTCGTGCAATTGTAGTTTTCCAGAATATTTTACCCATTGAACATAACCAAAACATATGCCACACTTCCTTCTGGCCCAAGATTGGCACACACACACGGATTTTAGATGACAAACTTCAACCAGGAACACATACTTAAACCGAACTAAACCACTGAAGAGAGGGATTTAATAGAAATACCAGGAGGCCCTATCTAAAACTATTATTAATCACTGCAGCAAAGCCTTACTTCAAGTGAATATAGCATATTAAGATGATGGGCATTCATATTAAATTATAACAATTAATTGAAAGCACTATATAGAATGCAAGTTTCTCCCTGGATTCATAATTTTACCCTTCCTGTATATAATACTGCATGTTAAAAAGAAAAATAATTAGAAACAGTGATGTTTTAATGCCATCTTCACAGTTAATTTTATTAAGCTATGTATGTGTATTAAGTATGTGTTTTATTGAAAAGCAAACATAACAGATTAATTTTACATAGAAAAAAGTCATGATCAAAACAATAACCTCAGCTCGGAAATAAAAATAGTCATTAAAGTGTAAAGCTGCAGGGCTTGGCAACCAACAGAGTAGGGTATGTCAGGGTAGGTTTCAGCTTTTCCATGTTTACTGTGATTGGTCTTTTGGAAACAGTTAATCCTGAAACTCTACAACAGGGGTCAGCAACCCCCCCACATGCATCGCAGAGCATGGCACATGGAAACATTCTGCTTGGCACACGCACCTTAGGCTAGACAGTGGGGAAGGGGCCAAAGCTGCACTGCTGCAACAAGGACTGGGTCCCTCACACCTCCCCCGCCCTCTACCCATAGGCACATGCGCACCCACTGCTAGCAATGAGGTGGGTCAGGGCTCTGCAGACCTTGGTGCAGTGGCTTGTAGCCTCCCCACCACCTGCTGTGAGCAGCCTGGGCTCTGGGCAGGCCCCTGCCACCCGCCACAGAGCCCAGGCTGCTTGCAGCAGGTGGCAGTGAGGCTAGAAGCTGCTGCACCAAGGACTGTGGAGCCCTGGCCCAGCTTGTTGCTGGCAGCAGGTGCACATATGCCTCCGGGTGGGCATCAGGGAAGGGGCCAGGGCTGCACTGCCACAACAAGGACTGGGACCCTTGCGGCTCCCCTGCCATCTACCCTGGCACACCACCATCTTTCAAGTCAAGGCTGGGGTGTTTTGGGCACTATGCCCACAAATATTGCTGACCCCCCACCCCTCTCTACAACAATTCAAATATTGGAATGCAAGAGACAAAGACTACTCCAAAAATACACCAGAACACTTCTACTTTGTTCACTATAGTATGTTCAATTAAGTCAATACAGATATAAACCAAGATGTATGCGATGTTGTCTTCCTATAAGGGCAAAGTAACTAGGAGTGTACCAATAAAGATATTTTGGGCCGATACTGATGGCCGATTATTAAGGAGCCATATCGACCGATACTGATCCAATTGCCAATATTCAAGCCTGGCAGCTTGGAGAGCAGCATCTGGCTGATAAGTCTGTTGGGGGGAAAGGGTGTGGAAGAGGCAGATGAAGGCCCCCCCCATGGTGAGGGAGGGAGTGGGGCTGGGGCTATGGCAGGAGCAGGCACTGCACAGCTGGGATGGGGCAGAGTATGGGATGGAGTGAAAAACAGCTTGTCCAGGGGGTGGGGTGGCTCCTGCCACTGTGCACACTCCCAGGGGAGGTATGGGGGGGTGTACCCCACAGATCTGCATGCAGGGTGAGGACAGGCTGCTGCTGAGGACTGGGGGCAGTTCTGGGCTCTTCCTGGTAGGGGGCTGAGCCGGGGCTGCACTTGGGACAGGCGGTGGTGGCGCTAGGAGGGGAGATTCAGGGGGGCTATGGCAAATTTTGGGGTGGCTGTAGCACACCCTATAGCCCCCCCTCCCAGCACCACCACTTCTGTCACCTGCCCCCACCCCCCCTGCCCTGAGTGCAGTCCTGGCCCATCCCACCCCCTGGGAAGATCACAGCACTGCCCCTGGCCCCAGCCTGCAGTGGCAGCCTGTGCAGTGCCTGCCCCACCCCAGCCCCACTCCCTCCTTCACCACAGGGGCCTCGATATGCTCCCCCATGCTCCTTCCTCCCTCCAACAGACTTACCGGCTGGACACTGCTCTCCAAGCTGCCAGGCTGCACTCCTGGCCATGTACATGCTGTGGCAGCATGCATGCATGCATACGGCATTTATCAGCGATATTATCAGCCACAACAGCCAAAAAAGCTGATACCAATGATGTAAATTTTCCTTTTATAGGTGCCAATACGATATGGACCAACGTATCAGTGCACCTCTAAAAGTAACAGTTCCATTTTCTCCACTGCTGTCAAGAGAATATGATTGCTACCACTCTTAAAAATGTCAAAGGAAACAAAGGAGAGGCCTGGTACACAGAGCAGAGTTATATTCTCCATTTGCCTGAACAGGCTTCAGACAGAAGGGCCAACCAACATCAGAGGACTGTTGCTGGGATAAGAAGCAGAGCAATGGGGGAGGGGGGAGGGGAGGGAAGATGAGATGAGATGAGATGAGATGACCTGCTCATTCCATGCAAGCAATTTTTTTTCAGGGTAAGCATGTTTATATGTTGCTTCTTCCTGCTCAGAAAATACAGGAACAAGAAGAATGTTAGTCCAAGCAAGCACTTCTACTCCTTAAAAAGGTTGGGTTTAGAGAACAATAACCCAGATGCTACAGTTCATTTTGGAAGCAAATGAAGAACAGCACAGCACAAGACAATACATCAGGGGTCAGCAGCCCCCAGCATGCATGCCAGGGTGTGGCATATGAAGGCATTTTGCTTGGCATGTGTGCCTCGGGGCAGAAAGGCACAGAGGGCTCAATCCTGGTTGTGGCAGTGCAACCCCGGCCGTTTCCCCACCGTCCACCCCAAGGCATATCTGCACCCATTGCTGACAACAAGTTGTTCTAGGGCTCCGTGGACCCCAGTGCAGCTGCCTGCAGCCTCCCAGCTACCTGCCACAGCTGGCCCAGGCTCTGAACAGGCCCTTGCCACCCACCACAGAGCCCACCCCTGGCATGCCAACATCTTACAAGTCAAGGTTTATGGGTGCTTTTGGCACTCTGCCCAAAAACATTGCCAAACCCTGCACTACATCTTAAAGAAAAGGAGATGAAGGCAGGAAACAGAAATGAGTCACTACTATTTGCACAGATAAGAATCCGGTGCCACTAGAAAACCTTTCATGTATCAAGAGAAGCAGCAGCTACAGAAGAGATATTTCTATAATTAGCACAGATCACATACAGTTAATTTGTTGAGAGGGGAAATAAAATGAATCCTTGGGGAGGGAGACAGGCTGCTCAATGCTTTTTGTTGAGAGCACTTCTGATTTATTTTGCAGAAAAGCACCGACTATACTATAGTCACAGTCATATACATTTATCAGTCATATATCTAAATTTAATATTCAAACACTGCTAAAAATAAATGTTTCAGGGCATTTTTACACATGCAAGCACTGCAGCACCAGGTGGTTTGAAAAGCACCCAGCGCTGCGACACTTACAATTGTATAAGCAGTGAAATGAGTGTTAGCATTGACAAAATGGCAGCAGCATGCTTCTGAACTAAAATACATCAAAGGTGCTTTAGTTCAAAAGTGCACTGCCACCATTTTCCGCGCACTGACATGCATTTCACCACTTATACAACTGCATGCGACGCAGTGCAGGAACCAAAAAGTATGTTTATCAATGCATAAAAGTTGCGGCAACAAAAAGTATGTGTATAAATGCCCTCAGTGCTTCAATGTAGAACTTAACTCAGCCCTTAACACTATTAATGTGTACCACTTTTCATTCTTTCGCAATAAATATTATTTATGTTTTATTATAAAGGTTTGAATATTCATTTTTATGTTGTGTATGAAGGCAATAATACAGTATTATAACTGTAATTACTTGCAAGTTGGGATCCACTGTTAATCCTCATGTTTACATATTTAGCACGATTCACAGAAGTAAGAAATTACAAAGCCAATTAATTCACTGCAAGTAGTAAGTAACAGGACTATTTCAGAGTTGTTATATGAGCCTTCCATGGAGTGACCTTTACTATATGTCTTATGAATTGGTTATTTTATAGAGGAAGAAGATCGAGGATCCTTCTACCTTCTTCCCATATAAGCAGACACTGAGCCTATTGCAATCATGCAAAGCTGTTTTCTGCATTGCTGTTCCATAATCATTATGGAGTTATTAGACAGAAATTGCTTCTCCCTCACTGGTTCAGCACTTGGCCTTAGTATTTAAACCTGACACTGGGAAACATGTTTAACCTTTGAGAGATTTTTTTAAAAACAAAATTAATGAAATTCGGACTTGACTTGCATTTTTGATATATGGGTGCCTCATAGCATATCTATCCATAGACCAGTCCCATGTTTTCCATGATAGCAAATTATCTAATTGCACAGCAAGAAACCCAGATACCTTAGATTTACAGTACAATAAAGGAAGCTACCCTAAACTTGCAAATTTATATAGTGAGTACTGCAGTGACTATGCTTGGGAAAGCATTGATATTTTCATCTGAAAACAACTTATACCTATTATTGTAAAGGCCTAAAACAGTAAAATTGAAATATTAAGGAAGATCGCCCCCTTCCACTTCGCTTAGTGAAGGGTAGAGTTGCACCTTATAGACTAAATGAATCAGAGATGCATATATTTTTGTATGCATCAGCAACAGCTCACTTAATCCAATTCAAGTGGTCTGTAAGGTGCAACTCTACCCTGCCTGACTGCAGACTGATGTGATGAGGCTAACTACCCCTTTTGGCCTAATGTTGTGCATTTGACAGTATATTTTATAAAAATCAGATTTCAACTTTTTGCTGAATCACTTCCTGCTTCATGCAGAAACCATTTGTGTGTAGGGACCTACTCAATTCACAATTTTGTGTCCCAGGAAGCACAAGTCTCCTCCTGGTGGTAGGTGGGCTGAGCCATGGGCAGATGTGGGGCAGGCAGAGCTGCCACAGACTGTACAGGGCAAGTGGCAGTAGCAGTGCTAGAGCGGCTGGGGGGGCTATGGTCACCTAAAAATTTCAGTTTAGTGCCCATAGCCACCCTTTGGAGCCCTGCCACCACTGCTTGCCCTGTGCAGGCTGCTATAGCTCTGCCCACCCCGCTCCCACCAGCAGTGCAGCACCCTGACTGGGAAGAGGCTTGCGCTCCCCAGGACACCATGAGAGGGGCTGCTGCCCCATCACGGTCCTTACCTCCTCACTGCTCCAGTGGTGGGGGAAGGGGCATGGCTGGATACAGCACAGCATGGCCGGATTCCCCCTTAAGTGTTATTTCTTTGCTAATGGTCTTTTGAATATGAAATCTAATCAGTTTCAGATGAGTATGTACAGATTATACCCCTATTCCATGCGTGCCCAACCCCAAATATTTTTTATATTTCTCTGTATTTTTAAAAAATGCCCGTCTCCATCTCTTTCTTATGTGAAAAGTCCATAAGCAACAGGGGAAACAAACAACATTCTAAGTATTGTCCAATGCATATAAATATTTAATTTTCTAATTGGTTTATAGTAACTAGAGCAGAAAGCACATTTTAAGTAGAAGTATATTTTAAGTCTTTAATGAACTCTATCTTTTGCCTTTTGCTTTTACATATGGAGGATGGTATGACTGATTTCTCTGACACTAACATTAGAGTACAGAATGATGAGACCATACCAGATGTACCACCAACGAAGGATACAAGTAAGTTAAATGTTACAGTATTATAACTATCAACCTTTCTAAAACACTAAAAGTTCCTTCAAAAGGGGACTTAAATAATGGATAAAACATTTCATTAATCATCTCATTTATACACAATACTTTCATGCTCTGGGTTGTAAGGTTTCTTGATTTCTGATGCAGAAAACCAGAACGCTTAAGATGTTTATTTCAGGTGAATTTTAAATATATGAAACCCACATTATAAGACACTTCTATCGCATCCTTTACACCAGGGGTTTTCAACCTTCTTTAACAAGTGTACCCCTTCAGTCTGAAAGTTTCAGTTCATGTACCCCTCTATATTTTTCCTTGTTTTTACGGCGGGGGGGGGCAGATCAAGGCCCCAACGGTGAGGGACAGAATGGGGCTAGGGCTGGGGCTCGGACTGGGGTGGGGCAGGCACTACACGGGCAAAGCTTCCTCCCAAATTATTTAGGGGAGCTGAGTGCACATGTACACACGCACCCCCCAAACAGGTAAGTCTGTGGGTGAGAGGGTGGGGGGGAGGGGAAAGGTCCATGAGGGGCAGAATGAAGCCCCCATGGTGAGGGAGGGAGCAGGGCACAGACAGAAGCAGGGGCTGGGGAGTGCAGTCCTAGTTGGGCCCCGCTCACCCCAGCCCCTGCTCTTGTCCTGCTCCCTCCTTCACTATGGGGGCCTCGATCTGCCCCCCCACAGCGGTGAGGGAGGGAGTGGGGCTGGGGATCGAAACCACCAGTGCAGGAGGGAGCAGGGCAGGGGTGAATCATTCACCACTGCTCCTGCCCCACTCCCTCCTGCACTGTGGGGACTGCCACACAACCCAGCCCAGTTGGGGCCCCATTCATGGTGAATGGGGCCCCAGCCAGATTGGATCATGGGACAATCAGAGCCTGGTGGCTCATCCAGGGGTGCAGTGGGGGGTCCAAGGTACGTGCCCCCCACTGTGTGCGCAGTGGCAGGAGCCCCCCCCATGCCTCTGGAGGAGCCACTTACATCCCCCCCAAACCTCAGTCACAAAGAAAGTGAGGGAGGCAGTGGGGTTTGGGCTGGGGCTGGGGCCATTGCTGCACAGCAAGAGGGGGGCACAGGACTGAGCTGTGCAAAGGCACAGCAGCTCCTGCTGCTACAAACACCTGCAGGAGGTCATGGAGGCATGTGACCCCCAGATCTGCATGGCAGGGTGGGCTGGGGCTGGGGCTGAGCCAGACTCCACTCGGAGCTGGCAGCAGTGGCACTGGGAGCAAGGCTATGGGAGGGGCTGCAGCTCCCCCCAACATTTGCCACAAGCCCCCCAACCCTCTCCCAGCGCAGCCTGGCCCAACACTGACTCCGGGAACAGCCAGGCACTGCACTGGCCCCAGCCTGCAGCTGCAGCCTGCCCTGCCCTGCCCTGCCCTGCCACTGATCTGGGGGCATGCACCCCCCCATGCCCTCCTGGGGTGCACATAGCGGTGGCACTGGGAGGGGAGCCAAACATGGGGGTCTGGCATGTGGAGGCCCCCACTGCCACCACCCTGTTTGGCGCGCACCAGTCCACTTTCCCATAGCAGGTTGCGGCTCTGCGGGTTGCTGACAGGCCTTGTGCACAGCCAATCTCGCGATGCCGGGGGCAGGCACAACAGCCCTCCCCCTCGCTATTCAGACCCTCATAGCTCTGTGTAAGGGGGTAGCAGCCAATTAGGAATGTGACCTAGGGTGGGGTGTATGGAGGCGCCGTAGTGTGCTGCATGGGGCCAGTGGCACCCAGCACATCCTTCCCCCTCTCCCTGGTTAGAGGCAAACACGCCAGGAGAGACACTGCTGCCATCCCTCAGAGCCTGCCCTGTCCCCCCTACAACCTTTCTAAGTACCCCTGGGGGTATGCATACCCCCGGTTGACAACCCCTGCTTTACACATATATAGATAATGACTGATCAACCAAAACCAATAATTAATAAAATCAACCTATCTGGCCAAAGAAAACATGTACCTTACAGCATATTCCAAAAACCAAAGCAACTTCACTGAATCAGGAATTAGTTAAGCGAAGAACTAAGCAGCCTTTTTTAAAGATAGAAGTGATGTTCTCAAAACTTCAACTTTAGACGGGCAGAAAATGTCTTTACTGTAGCTAAGACTTAACATGTCAAAATCAGTATCTTAAATATATTCAAGCAGTTAACAGGGAGAAAATGCAACTGGACATCATATGCTCTGTGAATAACATAGCTTACAAATCAATACCTATGTTCTTCCCAAAGTCATGTTTCCCCACTGTTTCTGAAATATATTTCTTACTCACTCAAAATGTTTTTCTATACAACTCTCATGAGATCTATATGTAAAAGGGAGAACTCTTCTTGCCAAAGAGATTTTTAAAAAGCTGCAGCATTTTTCAACATGTCCATTACCAAGGAAGGGTATACTTGCTTGACTTGCGCTTGAAGGGAAGCAGGTTGAAAGGCCAAAGCAGATACTGAACTTAAATTGGCAACAAAGATTAAGAATAACAAAAAGTCCTTCTTTAAGTACATAAAGAGCAAGGCGGTGCAGGGTTACATAGGACCTCTATAGAATGGTCTAGGGCAACTCATAACAGACAGGATGGATAAATCAGCGCTTTTACATGATTTCTCTGTATCTGTGTTCCTGGACACAGATACAAACACACCTCCCAATAAGACTTTAGTCTGGCGTGAGAGAATCCAGTCCATCTATGGATAGCGCTGAACTAGTGAAGGGGCACTTGGAGGGGTTGGACATATTTAAGTCAGTAGGCCCCGATGATCTTCCCCCAAGGGTACTAAAGGAATTGGCCGGTGTCATAGTGAAACCACTGGCACAACTGTTTGAGCATTTGTAGTGCTCAAGACAGGTCCCAGAAGACTGGAAAAGGGCCAACGTGGTCCGTATTTTCAAGAAGGGAAGGAAGGAGGACCCAGGGAATTATAGGCCAGTTAGCCTCACCTCTACTCTTGGCAAGATCTTAGAAAAACTCATAAAGGATCACATTTCTGGGGGGCCAACAGGTAATACAGCATGGGTTTATAGCAGGCAGATCCTGCCCGACTAACCTGGCCTCTTTTTATGACCAGGTCACAAAGTGCTTAGATGTAGGGGTGGAAATAGATGTTACAGGCAGTCCTCGGACTTACGATATGACTGGTTCCTGAAAACTGTCAAGTCAAAACGTTACAACTCGGAACCAATTTTCTCATAAGAAACGATGTTATAAATGGGGGATTGGTTCCTAAACCAAGACCTGATACCCTATTTTCACCAAAAATACCCCAGAATTTTGTACTCAGTCAATTATAGATGAGTAATATAGCTACATTAATGTATTTATATCGTAAATAGCAATCATATTGATTTGGAAGAACTTCTTTGAAGTGACTTTGCTAGACTTTTTAAAGAGCTCTTGGTTGGACTTTTTGAAGGGTTCTTGGCTGGAGTCTTCTCAGGAGTCTTGGCTGCAAGTTTTCCTGGAGTCTTGTCTTAAAGTGTCCAAGCATGTTTGAACAGATGTTCTCCAGGGAGATAAGTGACACAGCGAACTTGTTCGCTGGCATGGCATCGCATTGGATCAAGCGTTGTAAGTCGAAAGTGACATCATAAAGTTGAAACAGGGTGTCAATTTATAAACGTTGCAAGTGAAAAATGTTGCAACTTGAAACGTTGTAAGTCGAGGACTGCTTGTATTTACTTGGACTTTAAAAAAGGCTTTCAACACAGTGTCACATCCAATTCTTACAAGCAAACTGAGTAGCTGTGATGTGTTTTTTTTTGTTTTTGTTTTTTTTACAGTAAGGTGGGTGAAAAACTGGCTTATGGGATGCACCCAGAGAGTGGTGGTGGAAGGGGCAGTTTCTCCCTGGAGAGATGCGGGCAGTGTTGTCCCCCAGGGCTTGTTCTTGGACTGGTGCTGTTCAATATCTTAATCAGTGATTTGGATGAGGGGGTTGAAAGCATTCTGTCCAAATCTGCAGACAACACCAAACTATGGGGGTACAGGTAACACACTGGAAGGCACAAAGCAAATCCAGGTGGATTTGGATAGCTTGGGGAAGTGGGCAGATCAGAATAGGATGCAATTTAACAAGGGTAAGTGCAAGGTTCTGCACCTGAGGAGAAAGAATCTCCAGTACACCTATAGACTGGGAAGTACCATTCTAAGTACCAGGGCAGTGGAAAGGGATCTCAGAGTCTTAGTCAACACAAAAATGAACATGAGTGACTAATGTGACACGGTAATAAGCAAGGCTAACCGCACTCTTTCTTGCATTAGTAGGTGCATCACAAGCAGGTCTAGGGAGGTGATACTTCCGCTCTATGCGGCATTGGTTAGGCCACAGTTGGAGTACTGCACCCAGTTTTGGGTGCCACACTTCAAGAGGGGTGTGGATAACCTTGAGAGGGTTCAGAGAAGGGCTGCTCATATGGTTAAGGGCATGCAGGTAAGATCCTATGAAGACAGACTGAGGGACCTGAACCTCTTCAGCCTCTGCAAGAGAATGCTGAGAGGTGATCTTGTGGCTGTCTACAAGCTCATCAGGGGGGTCAGCAGGGAATAGGGGATACTCTGTTTACCAGGGTGCCCCCTCAGGGTTACTAGAAATAACACCCACAAACTAAAGGAGAGTAGATTTAGATTAGATATCAGGAATAAATTCTTTATGGTGAGGGTTGCCAAAATATGGAATGGGCTTCCAAGGGAGGTGGTGCTTTTCCTTACCTTGGAGGTGTTCAAGAAGAGATTAGACAGGCACCTAGCTGGGGTTATTTATCCCCAGCACTCTTTCCTGCCTAGAGCAGGGGGTTGGACTCAATGATCTACAAAGTCCCTTCCAAACCTAGAAACCTATGATATCTGTTACCTAAAAATCTAAAAGCAACAGATTATTTAACAAGGCCACAAACTAAATTCATATGAGATTTTTAAGTGGGTGGTTACAGCCCTCCCAAACTCTAGATGTTTCCACAACCAATCAATATCCTGCAAAATCTCATCCACAACTAGTCTACATTCAATGCAAGTAGCTTGCAGTAAGCCTGAACTAAAAAAAAAGCCCAAAAATACACCATCAAGCTCCAACAAGTGACACATGAAGAGAAAATTACTATCGGGGTACTTATGGCACCAGTTCACAATTTCTTGGAGTCAATTAAATGAACAAAAGTATAAAAATAAGCAACAGCTACTAAATGAAGCCCAATGCTATCTGCCAAGATTACACAGTAGAAATAAATAATTCAAGAGTATCATTCAAGACGTATTAGCTGAACTTGGCAATAACCTAGCAGCCATTTCAGGAAGAATTCACTGCTTATGGGTATGAAAAAACTGCAGACTGACCAAAAAGGGATTCTTGTCAGATGAACATGAACCAAAAAACATTAATACCATCTGTGCTATAGCCAGATTCATAAGGAAGATGACAAAAAAAGAATGTCTTGGCATTTGAAAATTTCTAACACTTATCCCAGCTACATAGGTGGTCCAATGAAAGCTATCACCGTAAGAAATCTTTGCCCCTGACAGTAAAGAACATTTGATTAAATAAACCAACAGTGCTGGTAAAACTGGTCTCAAAGTAACAGCATTATTTTTGTAATGATTGCATATTCCATGATTTTAAGGCTGTGGGATCCAATTTCAAAGCCATCCTCTGACATACAATTATGCCCTACAATCCAAATTTTCAAACAGAAGTTCCTAGCCTATGAAAATGTGAACCAAGTGATAATGCATAAAATATTTTACAGAACTGAACCACAAAAGGTTGTGAAGTCAAACTGCTCTGTTCCAAGGAGTCTAAACATCAATACTATGCTGTTTCACTGAACATCTTAAATGGACTTGCCCCTACAGCCCTAAAGTGTCTCTCAAAGTGTCAAAAGCTTTAAGTGGGATTCCAGAAGTCTCAGGTATATCTCCACACCTTGACGGCTACTCTGTTGATGGCCTGTTCGGTCTGTGGAATAACATACTGACTTTGACCATTAATATAATGGCATCCAGGCATCTGATTCCACCACTGTAATGGCACAGGTCCCCCTGGTACATGTGGTGGCTCTTAACTTATGCCAAAGGTGACCATCTGTGGCACAGACTTTTCTTAAAGGACTATGACATAACAGTGAAGCAGCAAAATAGTTTTTCTTTTCTAATCACAATGCATCTGCAAAGTATCACCGAGAAAAAGTTTCCAAGTGGTGAATGACCTCGTCCATCCAGGTAATTTCTGTCCAGATACTAAGTCTACTTGTCTGCTGTGACAAGTTTGTCGCTTATGTTACAAACATAACTGCCTGCATCTGGCATGGCTTGGGGACTACCACTTTTGCTGCTGAGTCAGAGTCTGGGGTAAGGAATCTCTTCCTGTCCTGCATATATGGATTGTTTTAAATTTCTATCACCCACTGATGCAGAGGATGCGCTTGGAAGGATGAGAACACCTCACTGTGAACTGGACTTATACTTGTCTTGGCTTGCAAAAGCCAGTTAAAGAAGACTGGAGCATTACTGGCAGGGGTTGTCAGTGCCTCCCTTCAAAAGGGCAAGGTGACAGACACTCTGAGGTTATGATTATCAGGCCCCTGCTCAAAAAGTCATCACTTCATGCTGACTCCCCATCCAGTTACTGCCCTGTCTCCAACCTCCAGTTTTTAGAGAAGGTCATTGGACAGGTAGTATCCCAATAGTTCCAGGCACATCCGGAAGCCATTGGTTTCCCAGACACTTGTCAATCTGGTTTTCATCCTGGATATAGCACAGAGACCAAGTTCATTCCCTTGGTTAAAAATCTTCACCAAGAGATAAACCAGAGAAATTGTACCCTGCTGATTCTACTAGATCTTTCAGCAACCTTCAATATAGTCAACCATGAGGTGTTGATAAAGTGTTTACATGACCTGACAGGCATTCGCAGGACAGGTCTAAATTGTTTCTGCTCCTTCCGATCAGGGAGGTTCCAGAGATTAGTAATAAAAACATGCTCATTTTCCCCTTGGGACCTTTCCTGTGGGGTGCCCCCCAGAGCTATATCTTGTCTCTCCTCCTTTTCAATATGTATTGGGCTGCTGGACAAGACTGTGCAGAGGTTTGGAGTAAGATGCCATCAGCATGCTGATGACACTCTGCTCTACCTCTCCTCTTCTGACCCTGGCCCCATAGTTGCCATTCTTTCCCAATGTCTGGCTGTAGTTGGGGACTGGATGTGGATGAACCAGTTGAAACTGAATCTAGACAAAACAGATAATTGTGGTGAGCAGACTACTTAAATTAGGGGGCTGGGGATGGGGGGGAGGGGAGATGCAAGGTATGGGAGACAAAGACACCTACCGTTGTTTGGGTTCAGGGTTCCCTTATCCTCTTGTTTGCAGCCTGGTTTATCCTGGATCCATTGCTGTATGCAGATCCTCAGCTGGTAGCTGTGGCTAGGCACACTTTTCACCAGCTCTTTTCTTTCACTTTAAAAATGGTGAATGGAGGTGTGGACCGCTTTGAATTGTAAATGTGGCTATTCACATACTTTTGATTGAGCATAGTTATTTTTTGTGGACCCCACAGACCGTCTGATCACAGGTTGAAAACCACTGCTCTACAGATATCCAGTTCAATCCTCTCCCTCTATAACATCCACTTCTGCCACTGCCTGAGAAAGGATACTGGGCTAGATGGCCTATTAGTCTGACACAGTATGGCACTTCTTATGTTGGGAAGAGCAGCATCTAAATTGAACGAACAAGCAATGTCGCCTTACTCTAATATTAAAAGCTCCAACTATGTTCACTAGAACTCCTACAGTGCAGTCTTAGTCTGCCTGGTCCAACCCAGTGTGGGTAGGAGCTGCCTCAGCCCCACAGGGCTGAGCAAGTCCTGGGTAAGAGGTGGTGGTGGGCCCGTCCTGCCTGGTCTCAAAGCCTCCATCTTGCAGGCAGCACTGTGAGCAGGCAGGCAGGCAGGCAAGACTATTGGTGTTGCACAGGTGAGTGGGGTACCACAGCTCCCCGCTGCTGAGCCCCACCCACTGTACCCAGGGTCATGTGGGTGGGCTGGGGAGCCAGGCAGTTGTGACACAGGTGGGTCGTGAAGTTTTTATAGTATTGTGGGGGGCCCTCAGGAAGAAACAGGTTGAAAATTCCTGCAGTAATTGACAATTTTATTCATTAAAGCTGTACATTTTTCAACTTAAATAAGACCAGCTAAAAATGCTGAATGTACCATAATATCCAGAAATACTAAAACAGTATTTTTGATGGGAACCTACTGTAAAGCTTCCATTCAGCCCATCTGAATAAAATATATTGTAGTGCCCATCACACACAATGCCCCTCAGTGCCAACTCTTTTTCAAGTCATGGTGAATTGAATACTTTTCAACTTCCTCTTCACTTCCACAGCTAAGCTGTGCCTTTCCTTTCCCATTTCCAATGATTCCTGTTTCTTCACTCCTTAATGTCTGGCACCCATCATCAAACGGGGCTGAAATAGTTCACCCATGATCCCTCTGTCTCACCATCACTCAGCCTGTTGCATACAATTAGTGTGGCTCCATGCTCCATGAAGCTGGACCACACTGCCCTGTGCCTCATCTGCAAATAAACTTTGGAGGAACCCAGGACTTGTAACAAAAACACCCAGTTCCAGTCATAAATGGGGGACTGACTGGCAGATGGATCCTTTGCAGTGGTTATCTGGAGTACACACATATACTGAGGGCTGCTGAGACATGAGGTTGCCATAGTTTGAAATGCTGTTTGCTCTGCTGTGGCCCCTATTAGTTTTAGATTAATATTATGCATAGGGGAAAAACCAGGTATCTGGGTACAAGAAGGCAGTTTTCCTTAAGCCCTCCCAGGGATGACTGTTCTTCTGGAGTGGTTTAGTACTTGCTGAGGAGCTTGATGCCCATTTTATGGAAATGGGAGGCTCTTTCCTAGCTTGCTCCTGCGGCCATATGGCTGAGGGCAGGTGAAACTTGGAGGCATCTGAACCCCAAGCCTCTGGGCTTGGGCCTGCATGTAAGATGCCTGCCAAAAGATGTGGGAAATATCTGGTGGAGGTGAAGAATGTTTGCTGGCTGTAGGGTCACTTATGGTTCTGGACTGACTCATGGATTTGGACTTGATTTAAATTGGAACACAAAAGATGTCTTTAAAAAAAAAGTTTGTATTACATATAAGTAGGTACAAAAGAGCTGCTTAAAAGTGTGTTTATGGAGTGTTTGTGCTAAAACTTGCAATAGTTTCAAAGAAGGTAAAATGCATCAATTCTGAATATATTAAGTCTATGAGTGCCTGTAGCAATTTTCATATGTTTATTTCAAGGTCAGGGTTTTCAAATTTGCTCATTTCCAGGTGCCCAGGGAGAACATGGTCTAACAGTAAGGGGAGAGGGGGTAGGAGGGGCTGCAAAGAGGAAGAAGCTGGTGGGGGGGCAAGGGGGCTAACAGACCACCCAGATTTATTTTCCCTGATGTATCAGTGGGAAGGGGACAAATTCAAGCAAACTTCCAATAATCAAAATTCCACACCTAGAAAATTATAACAAATTTATACGTTTTCCATATATAGAATCAGTTATTGGGGGGTGTCTTTTTATATTCAGGGTAATTTTATATTCACGTAAATATGGAAATTGGGAAAAAATGTTGCGTTTAAGAGAACACTCGATCCCTGGATGAAGTCAATACTGTATGCAGAAGAAAGAAGATAATTTGTAGTCCTCAAATCCTGGTCTTACTATCTGAAGAACAAATGTATGAAACCTTAAAAGAATACGAATCTTAAACAGGTATTATAACTCACTGAAAAATGTGTTTTCAGCACCCCAATTCAAAGGACCGATAGCCCTTCTTTTAGCTGTCTCCTGATAGCAGAATATCAAATTATTTGCTTTCAGATTTGCCCACTTGTCTGCTGTGTGTGTGTTTAAGTGGTTCAGTATACTGTGAAGAAACTGACATTGAATCTGTTCCCCCTCTGCCAAAGGAAACAGCCTACCTTTATGCACGATTCAATAAAATAAAGAAGGTGGTAGTCTCAGATTTTGCTGATATTCGTAAGTAATTATTTAAAATTTAAATCTTGTAGTTAAACTGATATTAACAACATTTAAAGTTCAAATATTTTCTAGGCTGAAAGATGAAATGACTAGAGAATTTGTCAATTGGTAGCAATACCAAAAGAGAGGAGTTCTTATGATCTATTTTTGGGAGGGGAGTGTTGCTTTTTGTTTTATTATTTTTTACTTCAATGACCAATATTTGGAAAGGCTTTGAAGAATCAGGTCTTGTAATTACAGTCACCAAACAGAGGATAGAAACAACATCTAGAATTACATGTGTTCAATCAAAGCTAACACATACAGCATAAATTATTGATCATAGGTTGTAATATGCTGCCAACAACACTCAAACAAAGAACTATTTGTAGGAAGAGCTCATTAAATTACCTTAAACAAAAAATATGTTTAGTGAAATCATAAGTTGTACACGCACTGAAGGAAAAAGGAGGCCCTAATTCAGGGGTGGCCAGAGTTACTCACCCTGGAAGCCACATC